TGACTTTACAAGAGCTGAACAGGGCTGTGAAGGGCAAGACATTTTGGAGGGCATTCATCCACCCAGTCACCGTGAGTCAGAGATGACCTGACAACATATAATGAAAATAGTCCATCTGCAAATGTAACCTGGCTGAGATGAGGGTGCTCCAAACAATGTTTTTATTGTACAGACACCCTGCTTAGAATTTTACAGAGTGTCCAGATTCCACATCCCTGCCACTTCCTTCATTTTTTTCTTACCAGAAAAAAGTCAATTGAGAAGAAAAAGATGGGGTAGCTGCACAATGGCTTTTTTTACTGGTAGTGCCATGACCTATCCTTCTGGAAGCATCCAAGTCAATGAAAGTAACACTCTATTTGTTGCTTCTCACTCATCAAGCTACAGCAGCCTTCACTAACCTGAGGACTTCCCAATGTTTTGAACTACAATTGCTATCATTCCTGGCCATTGGCCATACTGGCTGGGGCTGATAGAAGCTGAAATCCAAAGGGTCAGATTGTTCAAAGCTGCACTAGAGAGCAAGTCACCGTTAGATTCTACACAACCAATTTAACCAAAACTGATGTTTGAAACAGTATTCTAGAGCAAGGGTGAGCAACTAAATGGACAAGAAGGGCAAGTGATGTTCTGCTGAGTTCTCCTTGAGCTGAATGACAGCATTTGGCTCCCTGACCATGCCCCCTGACGTAAAGTTGGCCAGTGTTCTGGCTGGCTGATACCAATTCAGGGCTAGCGCACATGGGAATCCCCACAGTTTTCTCTGATCACAGAGTGGGGGTGTCAGCCGGGATTCCCTGAGGGAGCATTGCTTTAAGGCCAAGTTGCCCCACCCCTGGGCAAAGTAATGAAGCTGTAGTGGGCTGGACTGGAAATCCCTGTAGCCTGAATGTTCCCCTCTTGTAGTCTATGGTCCCCCAAGGATCTCATCTAAAATAGTTTTGCCTGCCCATACATCTCTTTTTACAAATAGTGGTGTCCTTAGGAGACAGGCCTCTTTATGAAATACATACACACAGAAAGATTCTTTAGTGTGTGTAACTTAACATATGCAAATTTTATCTTTTTGGACAGGGTCCCGAGGGCCCAATTCCCCAAACTTTTCAGTACCCAGTGCTGCCTGTGGCAAAGAGCTTTGCAAAACTGAGTTAAATAATCTACTGTGATCAAGAAGTGCTATCATCACAGCAGCTTCAGCAAAGAACTGGGTCAGCAGTTCTCCATGCAAACACCATTCAGCTCCTGATGCTCATGTGAACAAGCAAGCAAGCAACCGAGTGAGATCAAGTCCAGACATGAACATTTTTTGCGGCTAATCCATGTAGGCATCTTTGTCTGGAACAGCTGAGCTAAGCTGAGCTCTATGGGACTTATTGCCTCATAAGAGTAAGCTGTAAAAATTGAAACTGCATCCAGATAAGATGAAATGGTTGTTCACCTGCCAGATGAGTGGTGCTCAGCCTGTTTTAGAGTTGCACAGCAACTCATTTGAACAACTTTAATATACAGTGGTACCTTGGCTCACGAACGCCTCAGTTCACGACCAAATCGGGTCGCGGACAGAAATTTCAGAAAAAAATTGACTCAGGTTGAGAACTCCACATTGGTCATGCTCGGTGTGTGGGGTGGGGAGATGGTCACAATCACGGTCGCACTCCTGCAGGGAAGACAGGCGTGATCACGGTCATGCTCCCTCCCCCGAGCACGCCCGTGATTGCACCCATCTTCCCTGTGATTAAAAAAAATATTTACAGAATGGGTTAACCTTATGTACATTGAACCTTATGGGGGAATTTGACTTGGCTTGCGACCAATTCGGGTAGCAACCAGAGTTGTGGAATGGATTAAGTTCGTGAGCCAAGGTACCACTGTACAGTGTGTGTGACAGACAAGTTCAAACAGTCTAGCTCTCTATTTTATTACATAGTATTTTTTAGCAGTTATATTTATATCCCACCTTCTTTCTCCTTGCAAGGAACTAAAGGCAGCTTAATTATCACCTTATGCTCCATTTTACTGAAGATGGAAGAAGGGGTTTAATCCCTTCTTTGTCATCTTTCCATTTTACTGAAAACTGGGAGGGTTTGCATGTCACAACAACCCATGCAAGGTGAATTGTGTGTGAAACACCCCATGGAGCACTTGACAGGCAACCAGGTTCACTGCAGGTTGTCCTCTCTTTCAGTCTTCCCACAAGTTTCCCAGAGGATTCCCCAAGATATCATTCTCTTCATGTCAGGATCCTTCAGAATTTTGCTTAGTTTTCACTTGGTTTTGACACTTTTCAGTTTCCTCTCACTTTTCCACCTTTTCCTGAGAGTGCTTAGGAAAGTGGAAAAGTGTAAGCCATTCCTTTTATGAGGTCATGGAAGTTTGAAGGCTAGCTGCCAAAATTCCAGTTCCCTTTACAGGGATATTCAGGGTTTTTGGACAGGGATATATACAGGCATGAATCCATCTGTCTATGTCAAATCTGAGTTTCATGGCCAGTTCAACCCTATAATCACTGTACCACACTTGACTCTCTCTGTGTAGTTGTGCTTTCATTGGCATTACCCAGACACTTTGGCTCAGTAGTCCATTTTATTCCAGAAGGAACCACAGAACCACAAGCATGGAAGGATAACAAGAATAAAGTCTTGGTTGGCAGTAGAGGAGTCTGAATACTTGGATAAATGCTTCCTCCATCAATTAGATCAAGGGGAGTTCTTTCCATGGAATAATGGAAACACAAATGTGTGCCTGACTGCAAAGAACTGCCCAGCTAGCTAGCCCATGTGGTTCCTGTAACCTGGCCAGCAAATACAGTGCAGTCCTTAAGAATTTTATAACTCAGGTCTGCAAAGTGGTAGCCAAGTGTTCTCCATAAGATGTTGGTAAGAAAGTAGATTGGATGAGTTTTTCTTCCTTTCTTATAATACTACACTCTGAAATCACCCCATGAACCTGAATGGTGGAAGAATCAGAATATCATTATTATTACATTGAATTTATATCCTCACATTTTTCCTCTTGCAAGGAACCCAAGGCAGCTTACAAGGTTCTGTTTTTCCATTTTATTCACACAACAACCTTGTGAGGCAGGTTGGGCTGAGAAAGAGCAACTGGTGCAAAGTAACCCAGTGACCTTCATGTCTGAGTGGGGGCTAGAATCCACATCTCCTAAATCCCTCCAACATTAACCACTACACCACACTTATCCCCAGTTGCTGTTTCTCAGGAACTACCACTCCACACTGGATAAATAAAAGGAGACACTTTTTCACATTGCACATTGTCAAACTGTGTAATTTGCTACTACAAGAGTTACTGATGGTCAGCACCTTGGATGGCTGTAAAGGGGGATTAGCCTGTGTTCAATTGGATTTTCTTTTGTGTACCTTGTATATAGGGTTGCAGTTATAGTAAAGAAGGAGTAGCAGGTATTTTGAACTTCTTTCTGAGAAGAATGTACAGACTTTCGGGGGACTCACACAATGCAAGTTTTTCAAGTTGGCAACATTAGTTAGTAAGTCTGTTAATAGTTAATAGAAAAAGCAATGACACAAAATTACTATAGTAAAATTAGCTCTTATGAATAAAAACTGGAGAGCCATTTGTGATTTTCAGGGAACTGGATCTACAGAGAGTTCAGATTTATAGGAAGTGAGGAAAAGAGCAATTCAGAGTTGATGTGTCAGCTGACTATTAACTAATATTGTTGGCACTAGTTTGATATGTTGTTTATTGTTCTATTATGGGCTGGAGCTATTTCAAAAGGTGCTTCACTAACTCTACTTTATGAATATTATGTAGAATAAATTCTAGAGATACACAAGGTCATTTACCTTTCCAGCATTAACTAATCAGTTTAAACTTCATCTGGCATGTATACAAAGGAGTAATAGAGCATGACAAAGTGGTAAGCTATCCAAATCTAAAGTGTTTTAGTCTTGCAAGTCTATGAATGGTTAGGCTTTAATGCTCCTTGGGTTCCAAAGCAGAGCGGCAGGCATATTGCAGAACTAAAGCCTGTTGTAGCTAAATGTAAAATTGTAGTTTTGCCTGTTTGAGGAACGTGTTTCCAAATACCTAGTGGAAAATGCCCAACAGCTCTAGACCATAGGAAAGGAACCTTCCATCTGTACCTATGAAAGATTCAACGTGGGGGGCAAGAGGTGGCACAAGTGGGCAAAAAGCTAGCTAATCCAGGGGGATCAGATGCAAAAGAGATAATCAGGGTCCCTGTCCCTTTATATTTCAACAAATCCCCAGGACAGTGCAGATGACTTCCCAAAGATTCGGGGCTCCAGCCCCAGCTGCCATTCCCACATGCCGGTGCGAGGCGCTGCTCTAGATACTGCTGCTTTGCCTTTGCAACACGAGTGGGCGTCTCTGGCCTAAGCTGAGGTCACGGCTAGCCTTGCCGTACAATGCGCCGCTTTATACTCTGGAATGGGCTAGATCACGCGCGGGAGCGAGCGCATTTTCGGCCCGCGGTGCCGCGGCGTCACATCGTGCTGTGCTTCAGCCTCGACCTGTTCCCCAGTAAAATTCCGAACTGGGACGAAGCCTGCTTTGCTTGCTGGGGCAGACTGGCCTTCCAAGCGTGGCTCCGATGCGCAACTGCCCTCGGCCCTCCCGCGGGCCAGAAGTTTTGCACACCCATCCCGCCTCCTCCCTTTACAAACTAAACAAACTCGCAAAGAAGCGTGGGCCCGGAAAAGGCGCCCTGCGATCTTGGCTCAGGGCTGCGACCAGAGATGGCAGGCGAGAAGAGTCAGCACCGGTTGCCGGATCCCCGCTGCTCCCGCAGAGCGCAGCCCCAAAGCCGAGCGGCCGCGACACGAAGCGAACCGCAGCCGTGCGCCCTCCTTTCGCCGTTCGGCGGGACCGCAGAGAGGCTTTCAAAGTTTCCATAGTAATAGGAAGCGAGGGGCGTGGCTGGGGGCGGCCAGCAGCTAATCCAAACGTGGGACGGCGGAGCGAAGTCTGGACGACGTGTCCATAGAGGCGGGGAGCCCTCGTCACGTGCTTGGCGAAGAAAACCTTGCGAAAGGTGGCGCGGACGTGTTGAGAAGGAATGAGCCGGACCAGCGGGGGCTCTTGTGGAGCGCGGGCTAGTCGTCGCCGGGACAAGCGCGAGAGAGGGCGGCCACTGCGAGGAGTTCGTCGCCCGCCTCGGCTCCTGCTTGCTCGTGCGGCTCCCGCGTGGTGGCGGTGGACGAGGGCACTGGCGTGAGTGAATGCCTTCTTCCTTGGCGGCTATGGTGAGCGGCGGCCCGGAATTCAGGGAGAAGGGGATGGGCTGTCTGGAGGAGCCCGAACTGTTGCAAGGGGTGACTCCAGGACTTGTGGAAGCCAAAACCCCCAATGGGGCTGTTCCCGAGCCCCTGCCCGAGGTGCGCCTCACCTGGCGCCGCTGGGTCATTGTTTTCCTCTTCAGCGCCTACTCCTTATGCAACGCTTTCCAGTGGATCCAGTACGGCAGCGTCAACCTCGTCTTTGCCTACTTTTATGATGTCTCTCCTTTTGCTATTGACTGGCTGTCCATGGCCTATATGGTCGCCTACATCCCCCTCCTTTTCCCCGTGGCCTGGCTCCTTGACAAGAAGGGTCTGCGCTTCATTGCCCTGGTTGGCTCTGCTCTCAATTGCCTGGGTGCTTGGGTGAAGATCGGCAGCATGAGACCCCACCTCTTCCCAGTCACTGTCCTGGGGCAGATCATCTGTGCCATAGCCCAAGTCTTCATCCTGGGCATGCCGTCTCGCATTGCTTCTGTGTGGTTTGGCCCACGTGAGGTCTCCAGTGCCTGCTCAATTGCTGTATTTGGTAACCAGGTAGGTGACAAAATCTCCAGAAACAAATGAAAGCATGGTCCTCTTTTTTTTTTTAAGTTTAACAGCTTTAGGCTGCAATACGACAATGACCACTGAGTGTGACTTAAATCTGAGTAGACATTTATAGCATCCCACTGTAGTGTAAGAGAGAAAGCCATGGAAACTTTTTGAATGGGGAAATTGCATCATCTTGATGAAAAATATATGCTCAGGAACAAGTGTTTTATTTTGCTCAGGAGCAAAAATACTGAAGGAACGCAATGTCATAATAATCTGAAGCAATTATGCTGTGAGAAATGAGGTGTCTGTGAAATGAGCACAGTTTAAAAAAAAACAGGTATGAGCACACTTCGGGACTAGGAGATGTACTACAGACATGCTAAAAACTCAAATGTTGGGGTAACAGCATCATGGTATATGCAGAACCCTTTGCAAATGACTGAGTGCAGGTATTTGTTGTATTCAAAGCACCTTTTCACTTGAAAGGTACCATTCATTGTGTTTGGATGAAAACAAAGAAAGTGACTTGAGCAATTGCATACATTTGAGTATTGGTCTAAGTCTATAAAGAAGAAAAAGAGATGCTAAGATCAAGTCTTGGGATTAGGAATCATTAATATTAATCTGGACCAATTTAATGGAGCTCTGTGGTAGAAATACTCTGTGAAATGTGTATATTGAATGCTGTACATTATGTACCTTTGTGCATTTCCACTCATCTCTTTAGGTAAGTTTTTGCTGAATGAGTTTGTGCCAATTGAGACAGCATTGCTTTAAACGCTGCCCCCATTCTGATTTCCAAATGGGAAGCGGGAGCAGTTGTCACAGGATATTTCTATGGTGTAGCTATGGCTGGACTTGCAGGGCCCAGCACTCCAACAACCCCTGTTCAGATGAACATCCAGAAAGTGGCAGATGACGGGGCCACAACAAGCAGTCCTGGCATCAACACTTGGGCCAGCATGATCCTGGTCATCACAGCATCCATATTTTAAGAAGCATTATTTTAAAAATGGGGCAGCCAGCCGGGCATGTACATGGTTACAGATACTTTTTTAAAACTTAAAAATTATACTTGTCTATGACAAAAAGATACTTATTCCCAAGTAAATGTGTTTAGGGCAGCAAATGTTCTTTTCTTGCAGACATGATGGTGCTATAATTTATAAAATGCAAAATTGTGAATGCTGAGAGTATTTCTCCTTTTAATCAGGGTTAGCAAACAGAATTTGTTGTTTGATTTTTCTCTAATGTTCTGTCATGAATGTAGATGTAAAGCATGGATGGAGGATTGGGAGAATAAAAACGTTAGCTGTGTTCTTCACAATGGAACTAAAGCTTCAACTCTTGCCAATGTGATCCTCACAGGGGATTTCATGTCCTGGATAGAATGCTGTGGGTATTGGCTGCTTTTTCCTGTTGTTTTGGAAGGTGTAGGAAACACATGCATCACACCACCAAATGCCATAAACCTAGAACAGCATTATGTTCTCTTTGTTCAGCATCCGGAGGTTTCCTAGGTAGATCTCTCATGACATTGGCAGTAAATCTAAGTTGGACACTTGCACTCCTTCACTGAAAGTGGGCTTTGTTATCAGATGAGCAGATGCTTCTGTGTGCCGAGCAGACAGAAGCAGATATGGAAATTTTGTTAAGTGGACATAAAACTACAATTTCTCCGGTAAATGTTTGTGCATGTGGCAGAAGTGTTTAATGTTCTCTCTCCTTCATCTCAAGTACTCCCCACAATTCTGCCTGATCAAAGACAATTCCCAGACATCATTAGTTTAAGTGTGTTTTTCCTTAAACTGAAATGGACTAGAAGTCATAAATCTGTTTCCTTGGATGTAAGATCCACCTATTTAAGTGAAACATGTTTGCAGGTCAGCATGCTACTGTTTCAAATTAGATTAAAAACACACAACTCTTCAGTAACTTGCATTTAGGGACTGTTTGCAGCAGATGGCTAGAATGGGGGCCAGCTTTATCTGAAAACCTCTCTCTCCTTTTCTCTGCCTCTTCAACTTTCTCTTCTTAGCAAGCATGCGACTTTCCAACTGTTGTGCTACAGAATACTATTTCTGGAATATACTTTGTCCATTCCTGAAGGCAGGGTGTTGCTGTAATTTCTGTTACATGGGCTGAATGTGATAGGTCATAATGTTATTTTTGACTCCTGTACATCTTCAGGTGAGACTCTTACCACTGGCATGGGATTTCTGAAGCATCTGTAGCATGTAGCTTTGGCTTTACCTCTGCAATACATAGCTCACTATCTGTGGTAATAGGGAGGTGTTGCGAGCTGCCCCCACCCCCACATAGGCTGTGGGTTTCAGAGCTATTAATAGGTTCTGAACTTTCAGGAGCTTTGTGCATAGAGACAAATGTAATGAACAGAAATCAGTGCTATAGGAAATGAACGTTTTCTGTCTGAGATAATGGTGAAGACTGCCAGGTTCTGCATATCTGATAAGAGCCAGCTACATGTATTTCATGAATTGGGATTGGTTGCTTGTACCTAAAGAGGTATATTAAAGTGCATGGACATGTTTGGAATGGCTCTTTATATGGAAAACACTTAACTTTGAACTGATTTGAGAGCTAAGGAAGCAACAGAGCATCTGACAGATTTCTGTCTAGACCAGGGTGGAGAACTTTGGGAAGTCTAGGGACCATTTTTGATCCCCCAGGGCAAACTGGCACCGCTCTGCCACCAATTTTCGATAGCAAACTGTAATGGAAGCTATAATAGTTCAATTTGGAATAAAAGAAGCAAAATTGGGCAACTCGAGTGTTTTCGTAGTGATTTGCTGCTGATTTTTAGGGTAAATTGGCACTTTTTTTGCTGCTATCATGAATTTGGGGACTTTTCCCCCACCACTATGAATGTGGGGATATTGTTTCCCCACTGTGGTAGTGGGAAGTGGCATCCACATGAGGCAGTGGGGGCTGCATGGAGCCCATGATCTGTTCAGACATACACTCACTGTAACAATTGAGGAACTCAGCTTCCTGTTGGCTGACTCTGAATATGGGATCCCTACTTTGTCAGACTAGCATGCATGTTCTGTAATTGTAAAAGGAACTGACACTTTGCCTAGTTCATTGCAGCTGCTTCATAATATGCTGAAATACAGTTGTCCACAGTTGTGCAAATAAGCAGGACTGTGATGGATACTGACATCTGTGGAGCATATTGACTCTGGGAATTGTGTGTGCTGCACGAACACACCTGCCTGAAGATAATAATTTTGCATGTGTTGTACCCAGTATCTCTTCCTGCAAGACCTTACACTGCTGCTTAGTTGAAATGAAGTTGATTTCTTTTTCCAACTTCACATTCAAGTTAGATTCTAATTACAATTATTTTGAGAAGAAGTGGGGGAAACTTTGGCTTCCAGATGTTGCAGGACTGCAACTTCCCTGGGCCCTTAATATTGGCTATACCAGCTGGAGCTGCTGGGAATTGGAGTTGACATCCAGGAACATCTGGAGGACTATCAGTTCCTCACCTCTATTTTAAACACTCTTCAAATAATGTACTTGACTGACACTGGGTAATCCCTAACATCTGCTTTTTAGCTGTTTAAACTAATGTACTCTTTATTGGAACACACCTCACATAATGTTGCAAGAGGATTCTGTGAAACTCATTTTGCCTTCCTGTTCTCCAGTTAAGTATTCCCACCTTAAACTCAAGAGGCCAGAATGCAAACACAGGAGGCAATATGGGTATGTTCCTTGCTTGCCCTTTAGGAGACATTGGATGTTAAAGAAGTACGGTCTTTACTTTTAATTCAGTGAGTCCCACCTAGGTGACCAAAAGTCTTTTAATAACTCACTTGGTGTGATTGCAGTGGCTCGCTGGACCACTCAGTTTCTGCTGAGTTTCCGCTGAGCCTCTAGTTTCATCACACAGTCCTGATACTAGAGCTGGTCATTTCCTTAAAGCAGAAATAAGCATCCTTTTTGGGCCATGGATATATATGACAATATATAAATCACAAAAAGCTTGCCATCAGAGTGCAAGAAAGGATCAATAACTGTCCAAAGGACTGAGTACCAGGCAGAGCTGTGGTCTGCACACATCACACTAAACAATGTGTTTGAACCAGTTTTCACCACCAGAAGCCTATTTCTCAGTGGTCCCAGCTGACAGCAAGAAAATGCTGGCAGCTGAGATTGAAAAAAATGGTAGGGGCAGGGCACCATGGTGGGCACCAAGCAAGATGTGGGGAGGCATGCAGGTACCCCCACACACCGCATTACCTGCCCCTGACCTAAGACTGATGTAGTCTTCTCCCCTTCTGCAGTGCTCTAGAGGCTTCCACTCTGCCTGCTATTGTAGGTGTCTTCTTGTTTGTTATGTTGACTGGTCCCATCTAGTTTGTTTTAGATCGGTTGCTGTGACCCAGTATGTTTACCATGCCAAGTGGTTGTCCAGATTGGAGTTTGGTATCACGTCAACCTGCTTTATAATCCACAAATGGAGTCAGAAACCAATCAAGGACTGCAGTAGGAGCAGGGTTCAGGAGACACAACTGCAAACTGGATTTTATTGTGCAATTGTACTTCCCTCCCCTTAGCCCATGCACTGTTTTTTCCTGCTTAAAAAACCCTGAAGCTACTCATCAGAAGGCATTGTGAAGCTATTCTCTTGGTATCTTCTTAACACATTTTTGTAGTACAAAAAAAGATGGAAGAAGCAATGTGAAAAGATGGAAGTAGCAATGTGAAAACATGGGAAGGCTGCAACTGGAAGATGATGACATCTGGACAATATCTGTAAAATTCTCCAAATGAGGCAAGGCAATGGTATCTTAAGTACGTCATTTCTGGGACCATCCTCCCCCTTTCCCCTTTTGGTTTATTCAAATTGGACACAAATTGCTGCACTGCTTTTGGAAAGGGAGCAGAGATGAGTTGATCAGTCCTGGGCTACTGACTCTGTGGTGGCTACAAACTTGAATTCCTTCAAACCCCAAAGGGCTCTAAGTTAG